CTCAAAAATTACTGGGACAAAAAGAAATGCACTGGGTGTTCCTTTTAAAAACCCTTACCCCCGAAGGTCTTAATGTAGAGTTCGACCTGTTTAATTTTTTATAATTTTTTTATAATTTTTATAATTAATTTTTTATAATATATTTCTTATATTTTATTATCTTTTATAATTATTTTGTGCATGAAGTACATATTTATACAATGTGACTTATATACGTGACTGTTCTATTTAAATAATATGCAAGGTATTGTGAGTATAAAACCTTGTTTTTAATTTAAATTTTAGACTATCACATGTTTCCAATATAGGTATGTATTCACTGATACATATAAAGTTTAGCACTTTTGAAAAAAAAAAAAATGGCAACCGATCATGTGATTGTTGTATCTAAATAGAATATGTAAGGTATTGTGAGTTTAAAACCTCGTTTTTAATTTTAAACTATTACATGTTTCACATATAGGTATGTACTCACTTACACATATAAAATTTAGCACTTTTGAGAAAAAAAAAAAATTATGACATAATTTTGGCGCCATTTTCTAATATGTTCACTGCCTATATAAACCTGTATGTAACAGGATGTACTTTCTGATCTCCACTTGATAAAGCCTAAGGGCAAAACGCGTTGTGGTTTTTTAAACTATATTGTTTTAAATAAAGGTATTTTGGCCACTTTCTTACTGTGAGTTAGCCATCTTACTTTTTATTACTATTATTATTTGACTTTTTTATTGCTACCATCCTTTTATCCGGCACAGAAGTGTTTTTACTTTCCAGTGAGGATATTACTCCCAAGAATCCTAGGTGGGGATTATACCACTCAAGCTGTATTCATTGAACAGTCAGTCTGTTCAACTAAATGTGAGTAACCACTTGGTTTTTATCTTCTCACCTCTGGCAATTTATACTTTGAGCACCATTGTTGTTCCTGCTTTTATTTCCACATATGGTTCCCTAATCAAGAAAGAATACTAAGACCTCACGTATCCCATAAGTGGGGATTATACCACTGTACGTTATCAACACTAGAGCTAAGTCTATAGCTCTTGAAAACGTGAGTAGGACCATATACTCTTTTATTGCTTCTACCCCTTTCGGACATACTATACCATCAGTTGTTATTTTCTCATTTCATATGATGTACAAAGACGCATCTACACCACTCTGAAGAATCCCCCACTACAAAAGACTGTATTCACCTCTACAAAGATATTTGTTTGATTCATCTACCAGTCAGACTATTTATTCTGGACTTCTATTTGCTTATTATCTATCATATATATTGCATTCTAGTCTGCCTATTCTGTGCTCTTTTATTTATGTGGTTTATAGTGGCGCTGCCTTCCTTTCTTTTTTATTGGAACTATGGCATGTTCTTGGTCTAAGTCAGGGCTTGACAAATCACAGGGGCGAGGTCGCCATGGCGACTAGAAATTTTGCCCTGGCGCCAGGGATTTGAGTCCCTTTAGCTAGATGGGGGAACAATTGTGCTGACCGGTTGCCCTGAGGAGCGTAGATGGCCGGCTCAGGGATTGTACAGGCGGCTGCCCTGGGTTGCATGGAGGAGGCCGGCTCAGGGATCGTGGAGGTGGCAGGCAGGGGCAACATGCGAGAGAGTAGTGATCTTCCTGCAGCTCCTTTCTGCTCCCTCGTGCTGTTTAATGATGCCGGGAGTCGGAATATGACATCATTTCGAACCGGCATCACTACAGGGAGCAGAGAGGAGCCACATGAAGATTACTACTCCCTTGCATGCAGGATGAGGGAGGCGCCCCACTGGACCCCAGAGAAAGTCCAAGGTAGGGAGGCTGGGTGGATTAAAATGTCAGTGTGTGTGTGTGTTTGTATGTGAGTGTGTGTGTGTCTCTCTGTCAGTGTGTTTGTATCTCTGTCAGTGTGTGTGTGTGTGTGTATATCTCTCAGTCACTGTTTGTATGTGTCTCTCTATCAGTGTATGTGTTTCTCTATCACTGTATGTGTCTGTCAGTGTGTGTGTGTGTGCCAGTGTGTGTGTGTGTGTGTGTCTCTGCCAGTGTGTGTGTCTCTCGGTCACTGTGGTTGTTTGTCTTTCTCTGTCAGTGTGTGTGTTTGACTCTGTCAGTATGTGTGTTTGTGACTCTCTGTCAGTGTGTATCTGTATCTCTATCAGTGTGTGTGTGTTTGTCTCTGTGCGTGTGTGTGTGCGTGTGTGTGTGTGGCTGTCAGTGTGTGTATGTCTCTCTGTCAGTGTGTGTGTCTCAGAATGTGTGTGACTGCCAGTGTGTCAGAGTATTTGTGTGTGTCTGTGTCAGAGAGTGTGTCTTTCTGTGTCTGTTTAGGTACAAGATCACATGATAGGTGTTTTTACTCGCTATCTTTCCCACGCCGTGCTAGTTTTCTGTAGCTTGTCCTGCCTGAGATAATCAATATTCAAAATCTAAGCTAAACCAATGCTTTCCTATAGGAAAGCATTGGGAAGATATTGTGCATGTTCTCTATGGGTAACATTCAGCACCTCCATGCAGAACGTGGAGACGCTGAACAAAGGTGCTGCACTGACACAGGACTCTCTAGTGGCCGTCTGAGTGACTGACACTAGAGGTTTTACTAGGCAGCAATGTGCCTGAAAAGGCAATAGGGACAGGCTATAGGCACCAGAACAACTATACTATACAATCAATGGCAGAGATTTAGCATGTGTAGTGTTATGAAAAGTTCTGCAAAGTTATAAAGGTTGTGCAATAATCAGTGGAATGCTTCCAATGATTCCATCAGTTACCATGGTGATTTGATTGAAACTTAAGATTTGTGCTAATGTTATGATTAATTTCTCCTTTGGTGTCGTGGACCTGACAAAATGTTGCCCTAGTGCGAGACCTGGACATCGAGCACCTCGAGTCAAACAATCAGGATTTCTCCCTTGGATATTCACCTCCTACCGATCACACACTGCTGGACCCCATCCAAACAAGAGCATTAGTGAGACAAAGAGACTAGAGAGCTTTTATAGAGAGACTATGGCATGATGGGATCAGAGAACTTTGTGTTAAAGGTACACACCACATCCCAAATAAAATAAAAACACTGTTTAGTAGATATAAGTCCAATAAAAATATGCATGAATTTAATGATGCACTTTTTAATTTGGGGAATGTATAAATACAGGTTTTAAAAGCTGCAAATCTCTTGTCTGCAGCTTTTGCAAGCCGCCCCGCCCCCTAACCCCGGCCATACTTTTTGTGGATGTTCAATCACAGATTTCCTAATACAATTGCTACCTCTTGCGTTTATCTCCACTGAGTTAAACAAACCAGGAAGTCACAGGACCAGTTTTCTGATTGACAGCCAGGGGGATGTAACTGGTGTAACAAAACCCCATATTTTTTTGTCCCAGTTATTTTTCCCTGCGTTCGGTAGATTGATCTACCGAACACAGACCACCCCTGGCCCATTTTACTTCAAAGATAACCACAAACTTAAGTGCTGTCTCTGTGCTGTCGCCACATAACCGAACAAAACGCGTGCTGGAAAACGGCGGCCATCTTTCCTCCCAAAAGCAGGCAGGGGTACTTGGTCGTCGAGTGTCTGGAACTCTGAAGCGGACACTCAACCCCGCAAACACCTGTGATTTGGTACAAACGCCTGCTTCATTTCACAACAAGCCAGGAGAGCGCTGTTTGTTAGGATTGTTTGCACAAACCCAGCGAACAATCGCTACCTATGAGCCAGGTGAACCATTCATCTTTTTGTTCTTTTTGGACTCCCAAAAGTGACCAACCACTACCACTTTTTCTCTGTGTAACAGATCACCTGGCACCATTGAAGGATGCTCCTAGCGCTTCCTGAGGGCTCCAAGCACTCCAGCCGACACCATAACCACCGTAGACTCTTTCAGAGAGCAAGACAGGAACAAGCTCTTACAAGAGCTTAGAAGTGATATAGCAAGAGAGTGTTCTAGATGATTTACTGCAAACCAATTAGTTTGAATGACTATCTGTTCCTGTCCAAATTAAAGATAATAAAGTTGCGTGCACGCAGAAGTAAATTCACACTGAGACACAAAGTTCAGGTTAATGAAAGAACTTCGGAGAAGTTTAATGGCTTCTGACAGAAAATGGGTGCGCAGACCCTTTTACAGGCATTATTACATCACTGAAGAAAATCAAGCTATAGACAAATAGACATTGTTAATTGGCTTAGGTGCTAAGATGTTAGTAAAATGCCCTCCCCATTCTTAGGTCACTATCCTCGTCATTTTTAACTCCTCCAGGTTTTAGCGCCATTTTGCTAACACGAGGAGCTCACTCGACGGGAGGGGCCTTTTGGCAGCTATCCATTTAGAGCGTAGCTGGCACTTGTTAGTTTCTCAAGGTTAAGTTTCAAGGATTTTAGTAAATACACATTTTATCAAAGCTATTTCTTGCTGACATGCAAATTCTATGTTCTATAGACAAAGCTTCCTTGTAAAACTATGGGGGCCTCTTAGAGGTATAACAAGAGGATTTAAAGGGGCCTTACAGATTTATAGAGGCCTAATAATTCTACAACAGTCCCCCCTAAAATGTTATTTGCTAAAAGACAAAACTTTATTTGTTAGTATCAGAAGAAGTATTAGCCTAAAGACACAGAAACCCCATGACCGCTGACTTAGTGTTAATGCAAAGTGCAAGTCTATCCCTCTCTTGACCCTAACAGGCTGCAGCACATCCGTCAGTACGGTTCAGGAACACTCTTCACTCCGCTGGTAACCCATAGTGGCTTATCCACTACTTCTCCGTACGGCAGTCCACCCATAAAGACGGACGCTGTCCCTGTACTGTCCCTTCCTAGACTTTCTGCACTTCATCAGTATAAGGGAGAGTTTGTAGCGGAATACAGGGTGAGATGAGGTCTTGATCATCGATTGTCAGATGAGTGAAGGTTGGTGTTGCTTGGTCTACAGTTTTCTGCATGAATTTCCTTAGGCATGGGAGGCCACAACAAATGAGAAGAGCGAGAATAAAAAGAAAAATTAGTAAGGCAATACCAATCTGGACTAAAGCTCTCTGCCAACCAGTCATCCAACCAAACCATTTTTCCCAGGGATCAGTAACTCCAGAGTGTCTCTTTAACTCTTCTGAGAGTCTGTTTAATTTAGCTATGGCCAGAGTGACTTTACCATTAGGACCTGTGTTTTCTGGAATGTAAGTGCAACAAGTCATAGTGTCGGGAAGTATTTTACAGACCCCCCCTTTTTCGGCTAAGATCATGTCTAAGGCCAGTCTGTTCTGGAAGGTCATTTGGGATGTGGCCTGTAATTGCTCGGCCAAGCCCTGGAGGGCATCCCTGGTGTAGTTCACGAAGCGCTGTTGGTTGTAATAGATAGAATTAATCCAATTAAGGTTTTTGTTGGCAGTGACTATGGTAAAAAGTGATTCAAAACCTACAGCTACTTCATCTCTAGCTTTAAATTCATTAGGTACCCCCCTAGGCACCCCAATGGCATCTATGTAAATGTGTGGGTCAAAACTGCCTTTTACTGGGGTTTCGCGCCTTACTCTGGCTGATGTATGTGGAGGGTCGTATGTGTCATGATGATTATCAGAAATAATATGAATGGGCATGATAACTTTGGCCAGGGTACACTCACCCCACCACTCAGTTTCCAGCCTAGATCTTAACTAGATCCCCACATAACCAGTAAATATCCCCCAATGACCTGGTATGGTGTTGCAACAGGCGTATAGGAACAGTTCTGTAAGTGGCGCAATAACCTTTAGAAAAATTACCCATGAATTTACCAATCCCGTCATACATGGCATAACAAGTGTAATTACTTCTATAGACTGTGATTCCATCTGGTGGCTTAACATTTTCAACTAAGAGAGGGTATTCTGCCGTCCATGCCATGCAGAGGGACCTATTAAAGTCATATTGGTAAGCAAAAAGGCTTAAGAAGCAATCTTCTATCTCTAAAGGGAGAGTTAGGGGGACGGTGCCAAGGTGGGGTCGGGCACCGCCACATACATAACATGCTGTTTTATTATGTTTGTTAGCATTATACCTCATCCATTCTAACCACAAATTAATGTCTTTGAATCCAGTTTCAGCGGCCATGGTATCTTCAAAAGTGGGGTTAGCGATGGCCATCATATCTTTAAAGGACTGGATATGTGGTTTTAGCGGATTTGGGACCATATGATCAGCCCCTTGCCACTCTGGAGAGTGGGACATATCTCTGAGGTAGAAATGACCTAATTTGTTGTAGGAACCTTTTCTTCCAATACATTCCCATTACATATCGGTCTGCATCCTCGGGGCCAGGATGTTCAATATTTAACATTAATTTCATAGGGGTACTTCCTCCAGGCTTTCTTAAAGTCATTCTTTGAAGGAGGGATCTACCCTGATTGTCTATCTTAGATAAAGCACTTTTGGGTTTGTAACCCCAGACAGGCCCAGTATTCCATCCCGCAGCCCCCCAGTAGTTACAGTCACAACCCCATTGTTCATCTACTACACAAACGTAAGGGTCTTTTGCTTGTGGTATATCTTTATAAATGGCTTGAATCTGTGACTTAGGGAATGGGCACTCTACAATATCACAGTAATCAAAAGTGAATGTAGCCACATGGGTACATGATGAATTATACCAGAAAGTGTATCCACTAGCATCTTTGGTGATGGCCACCTGCTGGGCTTTAAGGAGGCCGACTAAGGAGATAATGTACCAGAGGCACATGGTTGCATAGAGTTAGCTTCCTCTGGGGCAGGTGTCTTCTTGCAGTGGGAAGCGTGGATCCAGTTAGGCCTTCCGGCCAATTTGACAGAGGTAGGGGAGATCAGGAGAACTTGGAACGGTCCGTCAAATCTTGGTTCCAGGGTGTGTTTTCGCAGAAATTTCTTGACCAGAACCCAGTCACCGGGGAGCAGACTGTGGTTGCCTGTGTCAGAATCAGGATCTGGAATTTTAGAGAAAACTTGGACATGGATTTTGTTCAAAGCATTTGCGAGTTCAGTTACATAATCTACTAAAACATCAGTTTGAAGTTGTAGTTTTTGGGGAAAATAGCAACCTAGCCTAGGTGCAGTCCCAAATAGAATCTCGTATGGGGACAATGAGGTAGTATTTTTGTACAAGAGCATTCATTAGATCTTTTGATAAATGTGCAGGTCTGTGTGCCCATTGTACGACTGCTGGGTACAAATTCTTAGGGAGGCAGAAATTGAGGTTGTTGGAGTACACTCCATCCTTCAGAACTGCCCCTTTCTGTTTCCACTTCTGTATTTCTTCAGGGGCAACTGTAGCCTATTGTTCCAGCAGGATTTTCAGGTCAGTTGGAAGAGTCTGCAGAGTAAATATGGGAGTTTCTTCATTTCCGGACACTCTTCTTTCCACTTCCTGTGGTTCTTTTGCAGCTTGTTTTGCAGCCTGATCAGCTAGATGGTTGCCCCTTGCTTCATCTGAGTCCAACTTCCCATGTGCTCTTATCTTCAAAATAGCCACTTCTTCTGGGAGTAGGAGGGCGTCCATCAGCTCCTTGATTGCGGAACCGTGCTTGATTGGTGTACCGGTGGTGGTAAGAAATCCTCTTGTTTTCCAAATTAATCCGAAGTCGTGAGCCACGCCCAGTGCATATCTTGAATCCGTGTAGATATTGGCGCGCTTTCCTTCAGAGATCTTGCATGCTGAAGTCAGGGCTTGCAATTCAGCTTCTTGTGCAGACATAGTTGATGGTAAAGATGATGATTTGACAATTTCATCTGTTGTGGTTACGGCATATCCTGTATGGTATCTTCCTTCTTCATCAGCATATCTTGAGCCGTCCACAAACAGGGTGAGATCGGGATCTACCAATGGGTCTTCATGTACAGTTGGTAGATGTGTTGTTTCCATTTTCATCTGTTCAAAACAGTCATGAGGTGTATCTGGGTCGTATTCATTCACTATGGTTAAATCTTGGAACTTATTTTCCAGGAAATGACGTGGCCATGCTTTTAGGGTCATTTGTTGGATATTTGACAACACCATTTTCCTGTAGCTGTGATTCGTCCATAGTGGCCCATGCTTTTGCCATAGGCCCAAGATCATTCCATGATATTGTTTTCAACTTGGTCACAGGGACATGTGGAATGGCAGTGTCCCAATGACGGTACAAATGCTTGAGTTCCGGAGGTAGATGAATCAAGACCATACTGTTGCCTTCAGAATCACAGTAGAAGTCTTGTGCAGTGAGTTTTACTTCGACCAGATATAGAGTTCATCTTCATAGCAGGGTTCAGGAGTGATGTTTGGTTTGTACCACATGGTACAGAAGGCATATCCTGCTCCGTCATGAAGGAGTGCTTGTCCATCATGAAAGGATAGGTTGGGATGCATTTCCTTCTTGATGGTGCCAGTGAGAAGAAAAACATAAGTTTCGTCCATGATGAATCCGTAGTATACACCCCCCTCAGGGAGTGGCAGAAGAGTGGACGGATTGAGAACTTGACATCTTTGGAGGGTAATGTTGTCAGGCAACAAAAGATGACATTGAAGGCGAAGATGCCTGGCAGGAGTAACATGCTTAAGCTGGACCTGGTTGACTATGGCAGAAATGTCATGAGGGGCCAAGACAACCAGGGGGTGGCCAAGGACAAGATCTCCAGTTCTTTCAATGAGCTCTCTGGCAGCAAAGACGGCCCGAAGGCAAGAGGGACGTCCTCTGGCCACAATATCCAGTTGGCAGGAGAAAAATCCAATAGGCCTTTGGCGGCCTCCAGGACCATGGGCCTGAGTGAGTACTCCTGTTGCATGGCCTTGTCTTTCAGAAACAAACAATTTGAAGGGTTTGGTATAGTCTGGTAGGCCAAGAGCAGGAGCAGAAGCAATAGCACGTTTGAGAGAACAGAAGTTGTCAAGGGCTTCTGTGGACAAGCAAAATGGGTCTGACTTGAGAGCATCATAAAGAGGTTGCATAAGGAGCGAGGCTTCTGGGATCCATGCTCGGCAATAGGAAATGAGGCCTAGGAAGGCGTGTAGTGACTTCGAGGTCCTTGGAGGTGGAATGTCCAGTACTGCTCTAACTCGGTCACGGGTAAGATGTCTGGTTCCCTGAGACAGACAATGGCCAAGGAAGATAACAGTAGGTTGGCAGAATTGCAGCTTGAGACGTGAAGCTTTACATCCTTGTTCTGCTAGGTAGCAAAGAAGATTAATTGAGCATTGTTCTGTTGTGGGTATATCATCTCCACAAAGCAGCAAATCATCCACATATTGAAGCAGGACGACCTCAGGATGGTCAGATTGCCATGGATCAAGGATAGAGCACATGGCCTTCGCAAATTGACTTGGTGAATTTTGTGCCCCTTGGGGCATGACAGTCCATGTGTACTGTTGTTTTTCATGTGTGAAAGCAAACAGATATTGGCAAGTTGGATCCAGGGGAACACTGAAGAAGGCATTGGCTAGATCAATTACAGTGAAGTACTTGGCAGAGGGTGGAACGCCGGAAAGGAGAGTGTGTGGGTTGGGCACTATTGGAGTGTCCAAAACTGTGGCTTCATTTACCGCTCTGAGGTCTTGGACCAATCTGTACTTTTCTGGTTCGCCTTTTGGAGTCTTTTTCTTTACTGGAAATAATGGAGTATTGCATGGTGATTCACATTTGACAAGAGCACCCTTCTCCAGGAGTGCTTGAATTTGAATTGTAATGACTGCAGCTTGAGCTGGTTTCAAAGGATACTGTGATTTTCGTGGCAATTTTACGCCTGGGATGAGCTTTACCACCACAGGCGGGACCTTTAGATGGCCTATGTCCTCTGGGCCTGTGGACCACAGCTTCTTGGGAACATCAGTCTTTAGTGAATCAGGGAAATTAGTCCTTAGGTCTTTTGCATCCCCATGAGGCTCTTCTAGATGTAGCATCAGGGGTAAGGAGCACAAAGCTGAGGTGTCTGAGACAGATAGAGGGGTGGATAGTTCCACTTGTCCATCTGGAGTAAAGGTGATGGATGCCTGCAGGCGTGAAAGAACATCAGCTCCTAACAGGTTAATGGGGCATGTGGAAGATACCACAAAGCGAGCAAGCAAGTTGTGGCAGTTACCAACCCGCAGTGGGGTGGACAGGGGACTTTGCCTTGGAAGGCCGTCCACCCCAACACAGGAGACATCAATATTGGAAAGAAATTAGGTATCAGGCAGGTCTTGTTCTCTCAGAACACTTCGGGCTGCACCTGTGTCAACTAGGAAAGTGGTGGGCTGGCCCTCAATGGGTAAAATTACAGTAGCTAGAGGCCCCCCTTGTTCCCCTGAAGACACTGCCATGGCAGGGGCTTTAAGCATCAGCGGGTTTGCTCTCCTCAGTATGGGCTGTGTTACTGACTCAAACCCCTTTTGTATGTCATTAGCCATAGCTTTTTGCAGTCTGAACATGTCTATCATTATAAATAATGGTTAATAGTAAGTTAAGTAAAGTTCCTATATGTCTTTGGATAAAACATTAACTATTGCGGTACTATCATTTATATCAATTAGACTATAACAATTATACCACCCTGTAACTAAAATGAATAACCAGTAGTGGCTGGGTTAATAAAACATGCCACAAACCCTTCTAATGCTAAACCATCATTTAAAGTAAAGGATGTTACTGTAAACATACGATCTGTAACTAGCAAGATTCGATTAAGTAAAGATACAATGTTTAAAATAACTTGCATTATTTAGCTATTTCCCTTGTTGCAAGATTAATCTGGATAATCAGCTGTTATGCTCTTATATTCGTGTCCAACAGATTTCATATGTAGGTCACACCACATTTGCAAATTACATTTTAGCAACCTTCTTTTTTTTTTTTTATCACGGACAAATTTCTGATACAGGGAAACAAATGGCATGATTGTTTTAGTAATTATAATGTTTCAGTTCATAATATGTAGAGTGTAAGGAAAACCACATGTCTCTAATAGGGGTAGGCCTCATGATGGAGGCAGCCATGACAGGGGCGGGGAAGGAAATGACAGCAAGGGAGGAAGTGAGAGGGGTGACGTCCATGATATGTGTGGGAAAGGAAGACAGGAGGTGTGGGCATGGTAAGGGCGGAAGTGACGTTACTTTAGAAGCAACCGTGACTGTGGATAGGTCACGGGACTGGCAGGCGCCATCTTTAGGGTGGTGGTTGACGTACTTTCAACCATACACTATATTAAAACTATTAAAATAAGTCAGAGAAGCAACATTCTGTTCTGCAAAATGGAATACTAAACTATGAACAGACCTGGCAGGTTAAATAAGACAGTTGAAAACATTATGCATTTAACAGCCCATACAGCTGTCTTCTAGAAACATGTTCTTTAAAATGATGCAAGATAAACTCGCGGAATTCAACCAAATTCCCTTATCTTCCTCAAACCATTAATCACTTTCCTCCTCTTATACTGACTTAACAACATCGCATATTCCCTCTACACCTTCCTAAATCCCGTATTCAACACTGAATGCAATCTTGTGAGCTCGTCACTCCCACAATCCTCAGTACCTTATACTCTTATCAGTAGCTTCTGAATAACTCTACAGAACACCGAAGAGACAGACCTAAATCGCAAGCATGTCACCACCCCCCTCCGCCCCCTCCCCCCCCGCGTCTCACAGAAGCGAGGGGAGGGGGGGGTGTTTTAGCAGAGGGGGATTTGAGTGGAACAAGAGAGAGACTGCCTGCCAGCACGAATTTAACCATGTCAACGCTGTACAGTAACAAGACAGAAGGACAATTACATTACAAAGCAAAGAGACACAAAAACACAACATTTCATTTATACCCCCACCCTCTACCAGGGTAATGGCTAACACAAAATACAAAAACCCCACAGCGTTTTAAGATTGGGGTGGGATGGTGACCATGGTCAGCTACATTTCGGTCATTACTGACAGGATGATGGAAGTGGTCACCTCCTGGACAGGGCACTGCTGGGATAACTTCCCAGTAACACAATTATTATGATATACATACAATCTTAAACCTTTGTGATCAATATCTTCCTCAACCTATCCCTTTTGCTGAATAGCTCTTGCTACTCGGTACCAGGCTTCTGCTGTACAAACCAAATCTTGGTCCGACAGCTTCCCTTTCTTCTGTCAGTAACTTACGCCAGCTCTCTGGCTACAATCTGCCGCACAGAGGTACGGTAATTCCACATACTTTAGCAATCTTACTCACTTTCTTAACCATCTCTTCTCCTTCTCTGTCTTCCACTAGATCACATGCTAACCAACCCTTACTGGGTTTATCTAACTTCTGTCCCATCCTCCCTATATAAGGCGTCCCAGATATAGAGAGAGAAAGGAACAGAACGTCTACCGTGCTCGACTGCTACTTTAAGAGCAAGCTCTTTAAGTACGTCTTCCCAAAACGTAGACTAGTCACTGATTCCGCCTACCCGTGGTAGCCGCGGATTGGAGCGTGGCGAGAAGTGTGTGACCAATCACTTCTCTCAACAAAGAGAAAGAGAAATAGGAGGGGAAAGTGTAAATAGTACAGTGAGTAAGATAGAAGTAAACACAGGAATCTGTGTGACAGACAATTAAGACAATAACATTTCAGTGTAAATACAGTGCATGCATCACAGTTCAAATAAGTTCAACAGTTTTATCCCTTGCCTTTACTCGTGTGGCCAAAAGCCACCTCCCTCAACCTCGTAGTGTCCCTGTTGCGGACCCACCCGCAAGTCTCACTACCAGCAGCCACAGGAAACAGCAACAGCTTCCAACCCGAATCCTGTATAGCCTAAAGAATTGGAATCTTACCTGTCTCAGCGCTTGAGACTGGAATTTTACCAAGAAGAAGTGTCTGATGAGGCTAGCTAAGCGGTCAAAATGACACTCTGGGGATCCCCAGGAAGCAGTGAGTCTACTGCCCTCCACAGATCCCCCCTACTCTTTTTCCTTACAGCCACAGCCACGTGGCTCCTAAAAGAGTTAAACAGGCAATAGAGGACCCCCAGGAAAACTTCCACAGGTCCACCCCCCTTTTTCCTTACTACCACAGGCATGTGGTACCTAAAAGGGGTTAAACAGGCACTTACACTCCCCGGGTACTAAGTTAAACACATACCAATACAAACACACCCAGGCAACAGATAGTCAACATGCAGGTAAACTAGGTATCATTAACAATACAAAGACTCTGGGCAAGTTATTACCTGACTTTGATGTCCTCTCGGCAGCAGTCACAGACACTGGGGCAGGTCAATCACAGGGGTAGGAACATACCGGCTAGGTGCTGCAGCAATCTCTACCGTGTATTCAGAGGTGATCAGGCTCTTTTCCTTCCCCCAGGATTCAGCCCCCCCAGCGTCTTCTTGGACAGCTGCCCAGACTGGACATAGCCCAGAGCCCCACGTTGAGAGCGCCAATTGTTCTAGATGATTTACTGCAAACCAATTAGTTTGAATGACTATCTGTTCCTGTCCAAATTAAAGATAATAAAGTTGCGTGCACGCAGAAGTAAATTCACACTGAGACACAAGGTTCAGGGTAATGAAAGAACTTCAGAGAAGTTTAATGGCTTCTGACAGAAAATGGGTGCGCAGACCCTTATAAAGGCATTATTACATCATTGAAGAAAATCAAGATATAGACAAATAGACATTGTTAATTGGCTTAGGTGCTAAGATGTTAGTAAAATGCCCTCCCCATTCTTAGGTCACTATCTACGTAATTTCTTAACTCCTACAGGTTTTAGCGCCATCTTGCTAAAATGAGGAGCTCACTCGACGGGAGGGGCCTTTTGGCAGCTATCCATTTGGAGCGTAGCTGGCACTTGTTAGTTTCTCAAGGTTAAGTTTCAAGGATTTTAGTAAATACACATTTTATCAAAGCTATTTCTTGCTGACATGCAAATTCTATGTTCTATAGACAAAGCTTCCTTGTAAAACTATGGGGGCCTCTTAGAGGTATAACAAGAGGATTTAAAGGGGCCTTACAGATTTATAGAGGCCTAATAATTCTACAACAAGAGTATGCCTAGCATAGCAATCCCTTGTAGCAGATTCCCCCAATAAGAGACGGCACTCCAAATTGAGGGTGAAGTAGAACTGAAGCTTTACTCCAACATTCTGCTTTTATGCAAATTTTATAATACACTCAGACACTCCCAGCAATTACACACAAAATCCTCCCCTCTGCCTGTGATATAATTACTGAACACAATGGGCTGACGTAATTATCACAGGCAGGAAAATACAAATTTTTACACAATATTCATAACTTTAAAAGTATACATCACATTTGCATAAAACTTACATTTTCCGAGTCAGCAAACTCCAAATACAAACATATGTCATACAAATTTGTCCAGTGGTTCAAAAGTTAGTTGGAAATCCCTTTTTGACCAACTGCAAGCATGGCTTGGGTGTGGTAAGCCAATTATCTCCAGCATACAGAAAATATCTCCATTTACAACAACAGTAAAAATACATAAAAATACATAATTCCTATCATACTGAACAGAACCCCCACATTCAACCTATCCCCAGATAGCTTGGATCTGAGCACTCACTATATCCGAACAGCGCTCAGATACCACAAACACAGTCAAATCGCCATGGGGTTAAAGTTTAGCAACAAGTTCCAACTGGTCTGGCAGAGTCCCTGGGGCAACGCCTTGCTGGAGGACAATAGACAGGAAACAGGGGAGGGGTACACCTTCTCATGTATTCAAAGGGGCAGAAAAAGTGTTTCAAAATCCAATAAGCCCAAATAATGCTTACACAGGGCAAAGTCTTCCAGGGGCCATAGTCACATGGCAGGAGGCTGGCAATCAGTCTTCTCCAATGCCCAGTGGTGAGGCTGGTTCCGCCACACTCTGGAACTATTTTGGGCCGCCACGTGTGCGGTCGGTCAAAACTTTACCCCGGTGTCGATTCGGCTGTGTTTGTGTATTCTAAGCGATATTTGGATATGTTGGGCGCTCAGATCCAGGCTATCCGTGGATATGAGACTTGTTGGGGTTCCTATGTGTGTTATATGTATTTTGTGTTTTATTTCTTGTACCTCTAGTGCCTGGGAACTAACCAGATTAAGCAAAGTGCACTCAATTATCTCCCAGACACGGAGACTCCTGGGCGTGTTTTACTATGTTTTTGCTGAAGTCCCCATGCTGGGGTTCTGTGTACGAACAGGCTATAATCACTCAAGACTCTAGCAGTTCGGGAGTGTGGAAACAAACGGAGTATATGAAAAACAAGGAATTACGCCGATGAAATACACATAAAAAGTCTGCAGCAACCATATTAAAGATGCAACCTCCTATGCCCTCAGTGTTAATACACCTGGTTTCTGAAAACGTAACCCTTCATTCTAACACCCGATGCCCCACAACACGGCTGCTTGTCCTCATGCGAGACTAATATGTCTCTTGATGACGTAAATTTCCGTTTGTGAAATACAGTATCTCCCTGGACTGAAAAGGAAGGGAGGGCATGACTGCAGGCCAGCAGTAAGGAGGGGTGGCTATACTGGATACTTTGTTGCAATATGGAATATAAAGCAGGACAGAGGAGGGGCCTTACCAGTTGCTCAGTAAATTTAGGATTGAGAACTTGCTAATTTTACTTCCATAGTATAGGGCCTAGTGATTTACCTATAGTTAGGTTTGGAGCAGTTTTAGTTAGGTTTGCAGCAGTTTTTGTTAGGTTTGCAGTAGTTCTTATTTCACTATGGCATCTACTTCAACAACGGTGTCCCAGGAGGCGCTGGTTGCAATGCTACAGGCTTACATGGAGTCTCATGGCTCAGGCGCCCTGGATGCAGTGATGGTCGGCGTCGCTGGAAGTTCAGGTACTTTGATGTTGGAGAGGACGGCTGAAGACCCCCCTGCAGACGGTCGGAGGGCCCAGAGGACAAGGCCTCCGGTGCGGTTATCCCCCAGTCCTGTGAGAAGAACCGGTACCAGGCGCGGAGACCGGAGGGTTGGTTAGCAGAGTTCCGGTGCGGATCGTGCAAAGGAGGCCCCCCAGGTGAATGCCAGGCGCGGGCGCTCCGTCATTGTGTCGGGGGCAAGGGCCCAAGATGGCGCCAACAGGGAGGTGTGGTCACGGAGTCCGCCTTCTCTTCCGGCAAGACTGGAAATGTCATCATCGCGTCTGACGCACGGGCGCAGAAGAGTGACGTCAGATGCACCACCGGAAGCTGCCACGTCACAGGCCCCGCCTCCACTTCCTAGTTTAATTCGGAATAGCCCAGCAATTCTGCCGGAAGCCGGCAGGAGGGGCAGAATACATAGAAGAGAAGCCAGAAGCCCTGCCAGAAGCCCTGCAACTCTGCCACAGACAGGCAGGAGTACCAGGAGCCCTGCAGCTCTGCCACAGACAGGCAGGAGCACCAGAAGATCCTCAACTCTGCTGACAGACAGCAGGAGTGCACAGGGAAGAAGTGCTGCTCGGGCAGAGTCAGATGCAGACTCTTGGACAGAAGAGGAGAAAGAATCTGGCATGCCCACAGTGCAGGAGCCGTCTGTGCCACTCTCCAGGGGTGAGTTGACTTGTGCGAGCGTATGGGGTGCATTGCCTGGGGATCAGGGCAGCTCTAGGGAGGTTGTGAGTTTACTGCGCGCAGTATTAGATCAGTTGTCTCGGTGGTCGCAGGCGCAGAGCAATAGTGCGCAGGTTCCTAGGGGGGTTCAAGGAGGGTTTAGACCTTGTTTGCCTGGGTGTATCATATCCCCCCTGGGAGTCCATATTCCCGCGGAGACTCAGGACAGGATTTGTAATGGTGAGTACGTTGACTTCTTGTCCTTGGTTCCCCCTGACAGGGAATCTGTTGACAGGCCCCGTAGGGGGATCCTCATGAGGGCGATAAGTCTAAACAGATTCCTCGCACATTCGGCAACTGGCTCCAAGGATTTAATATTTATTCTAGTATCCTAGTCTGTCGTTTCCCAGAGAAGGCTAGCTCCCTATTTGGGTATCTGGATTTAATCTGGGGGGCTTATAAAATTTATGGGGGCCAGTGTTGGTTTCGCTATGACCAACAGTTTAGGCAAAGAATGGCAGCATGCCCGGATATGGACTTCAGCATGCAGGATGGTAGCCTATGGCTACTTCTGATGACGCCGTGTAGACCATCACCATCTCCCTTTCCAGGGCCTGCCGGCGTGCACAGTGGTGCGCCGGCAGGCCACAAGAGAGGAGTCTGCTGGCTGTTCAAACGAAAGCCAGTGCAAATGGTTCAGTTCATGTCGCTTTAGACATGAATGCTCTCATTGTGGAGGAGCACACACCACTATGCGCTGCTTTAAAAAAGGGAGACAGGGCACGGGGAAGGGTTCCGGTAGGGATGACGTATCTAGAAGTGAGGACTCCAGTGAGCGTCACAAGGATGCAACCGTGGCTCAACCGGTATCCCAATAGACGTGCCGCGGCGGTTCTTTTAGGGGGATTTTGGAAGGGTTTTTGGATCCCCTTTGTCCTGTCTGAGTCCTTTTGTTTCGCGGAAAACTTGAAATCGGTCCGCGGGATGGAGGATCGGTTACAAGACAAATTGGATAAGGAGATTCGACTGGGGCGGATGGCAAGCCCCTTTGTCTTTCCCCCCTTTCACAATCTCCGCGTGTCGCCGCTGGGCTTAGTCCCCAAGAAAGATCCCGGCTCCTTCTGTTTAATTCATCACCTATCTTATCCAGCTGGAGGTTCAGTGAACGATGACATCGGAAAGGAGGTGTGTCAGGTTCAATACGCATCCTTTGATAGGGCTTTGGAATTGGTTCGGGCCGCTGGTGCCGGTTCCCTGCTAGCCAAGTCAGACATTGAGTCTGCATTTCGGCTTTTACCAGTACACCCCGAGTGTTTCCACCTCCTGGGTTGCCACTTTCGTGGTAGTTATTATTACGATATGTGCCTGCCCATGGGGTGTGCGATTTCTTGCTCATACTTCGAGATGTTTGCTTCCTTTCTCGAGTGGGTTACTGTTCAGCATTCAGGTCGGATCTCAGTCACGCACTACTTGGATGACTTTCTGTTTGTGGGCCCTGCGGGGTCCAAAGTATGCGTCGACTTGTTGTTTTCCTTCAGGGCGATCGCTAAGGAGTTTGGGGTCCCGATCGCCGAAAATAAGACGGTGGGCCCGGTGACTGTGCTATCGTTTCTCGGTATCGAAATCGATACCGTGAATATGATTTTTCGGTTGCCTGACAATAAGCTCACGGTTCTTCTGGAATTAGTGGACCGGGTCAAAGGAGCTAAGAAGGTTCAATTGCGGCAGATGCAGGTCCTTTTGGGTCACCTGACCTTTGCGTGTCGGGTTCTGCCCATGGGTCGGGCATTCTGTCGTCTACTTTCGTTGGCCACGGTCGGTATTCGGGAACCGCATCATTTCATCAGGGTAAACAATCGCATGCATGAGGATTTACGCGTCTGGAGTTCCTTTCTGGGCACCTACAATGGCCACTCATGTTGGCTCAGGGAGGCTGCATCCAATGCATCGTTGGATCTCTTTACGGATGCTTCCGGCTCCGTGGGATTTGGAGCGTTCTTTCATGGTCAATGGTGTGCGGAGTCATGGCCGGTCAGCTGGAAAGGTAGGGATATCATGCGCAACCTCAACTTTTTAGAACTCTTCCCAATTGTGGTGTCCTTGGAACTTTGGGGTGATGAGTTGAGTGGTCATGTTGTCGTTTTTCATACTGACAACTTGAGCGTTGTTCACGTGATTAAGCGG